CATCGGTTCACAGTACAGTGTATATGTTTAGGTTAAGTACATATTTAAGTCCTATTTCCAATAACCCATTGACAAATCGCCAGCAAAACCTTTACAGATCTATCAAAACATCTCATACACATGAAGATTTGATTAAAAGCCCAAAGTTTCATAAACAAGAGCTCAATCTACAGAGTTAGCCTACCTCGTCTGAAAACGGTTGAGATGCTAATAGACTTTTTCGAAGAGGCTAAACCATTTCTATAAAATAAATATTCAGTAGAAACATGTCAATTACAAGTAAGAAACGTGTCAGGAACGTTTGTATGTAATATTTGTGTGATTTTAGGGACTAAACTTACCTGAAAGCAGTGAAAACAGCAGCGAGAGCCGTTTCCATGGCAACTCTGCTCCCAGCTTGCGCAGAGCTCAACGCACTCACAGCATTTACACAAATAAACATCTAGAGTTGAAACATTATTGAATAATAATCGTTTGAGACTGTAAATTATTAATGTAATGAATTTAAACTCAGTTTTGTAGTTGAAAAGCAACAGAAACAATAGCTCACCGTAGAAACGGATTCTTTCTGGTAACGTTAGCCTACAACAGTGAAAAACACGGCGGAAAAGCAGTTAGGACTTCGCTTTAATAACATTTTCCCTCCGATAAATTGCTGGAAATACATTAAGGCACTAACAATAATATTAAACATTGCTAAGTTATCATGACCGTTAGCTAAACAAGTTACCGTTAGTTGGAAATGAGCCCCAGTCTCTTCACCTGTGCTGTAGCACACCAAGTGCTTGTAACGTTACCTTGAAGTGTCACAGAATTAACAAAATGGTATTTTTTTCTAATTTAGCTCAAGTGAAATCTTACCTGAAAGCCCCAGATGTCGCGGGATGAGTCTCTTCTCTCTGTAGGTTGCTACGTTATATAAGAGATGAATAACGGCTCCAGCAAACAGAAAAGCGCAGCATCGGCCTCCGGTCGTGAGCTGACTCCGAGCCGACGCTTGATGAGCTGAGAAACAGAGCACTGACCGAATTATATCGGCCTATGCCTGGCCGACGCTTATGAGATGTTTTAGGTAATGAGGCCGACGTTTCACTCTTGGGCCGACGTCGGCCAGACGTACGTGTGCTGTCCGGGGAATGTATGTAAATGTGAGAGACTGGAGTAGAAGGGGGAGAGTAAAAGACAAACGTACTGCAATGCCCTCTTGTCTGGCTCTTTGTTTGATTGGCATCTGCTGCAACTAAACAATGGTTTCTACATGGTGTCAGAAGTGGTGACAATGGATCAAGTATTTTCTCTGACTGCTCCGGGGAACTTTAATTTTGATGAACCGAATTCATGGGCGCAATGGATAAGACGCTTTGAAAGGTTCAGACTGGCCTCGGGCCTCGCCGGCAAAGAAGTAGTTTACCAGGTAAACTCGTTACTTTATATTATGGGAGAGAAGAGTGACAATGTCCTGAACACTTTAGCCTTGTCGGGGCGGCAACAAAAATAATATGAAATTGTAAAAGCGGCATTTGAGAGTAATTTTATCGACAAGTAAAATGTCATCTATGAACGGGCAAAGTTTAATAGCCAATGTCAGCAGCCGGGAGAGTCAGCGGAAAGTTTTATTACCGATGTGCATAAATTGGCACAACATTGTAAATACGGAGCATTAGAAGAGGAAATTATCCGAGATTGAATTGTTGTTGGCATTAGAGATTCCAAATTGTCTGAAAGACTGCAATTGGATCCAGAATTAACTTTGGCAAAAACGATAACACAAGTCAGACAACAAGAGGAAGTGAAAAAACAGCAACCGTTGATAAGGCAAATTTAAACTTCTGAGCAAAGATCTTTCAATGTGGATTCTGTAATGGCCGCAAGAAGGTCTAAGCAACAGAGTTATTAAAAAAAAAAAACGTCTAAGTGGGTGACACAGAAAATGCCTCAATGTTTGTAAAAGATGTGGAAGGGAAGCTCATTCATGGAAATTTTGGCTATTCAAGAGCTTCAGCTAATACAACAAGTTGCCGAAGTGCAAGATGATGGCTTCCAATATAAAGATATGTTTCCCAGTGCTTTTACAGGACTTGGGCAGTTACAAGGAAGTTATAAGATCAAATTGACAGATGGAGCTCGACCCTATGCCCTCTCTGTGCCGCAATGTGTGCCATTACCGTTGCTGGAAAAAGTGAGAGCAGAATTGCAAAGAATGGAGTCAGAAGGAGTGAGCTGTAGGATAGAAGAACCGACTGACTAGTGTGCTGGGATGGTAGTGGTTCCAAAGCCCAATAGTAATGTTCGAATTTGTGTAGATCTGACCAAGTTAAATGAGAGTGTTTGTCATGAGAGACATATACTTCCAGCTGTCGATGACACATTAGCACAGCTGAAAGGTGCTTCCATTTTCTCAAAGTTAGATGCTACATCTGGCTTTTGGCAAATCCCTTTACACAAAGAATCTGAGCCTTTGACTACCTTTATCACCCCATTTGGACGTTCTTGTTTTCAACGTCTTCCCTTTGGGATTTTTTCAGCTCCAGAACATTTTCAGTTGAGAATTTCTCAGATGATTGCAGGAATTCCTGGGACAGTCTGTCATGCAGATGATATACTTGTGTTTGGGGAAAACAAGAAGGAACATGAGGAAAGGTTGATAGAGGTGTTAAAGAAGTTTGAGAAAACTGGTTTGACTCTCAATGAAAAATGTGTCTTCAGTGTGCCAAAAGTTAAATTCTTGGGTCAAATTGTAAGTGAAAAAGGAAGAGAACCTGACCCTGAAAAAAATCCATGCTGTTATCAACCTACCAGAACCTGAGAATAAAGATGATGTGCGGCGCTTTATGGGGATGGTCAATTTTCTGAGTAAATTTCTCCCACATATGCAAACCCTCACACAACCTTTGTGAGAGCTTTTAAAGAATGATTCAATGTGGATCTGGGGCACTGTACAGAGGGACGCCTTTGAAAGAGTCAAAAGGGAGCTTAGTTCCCCTTCAATTCTTGCACAATATACCCCAAATCAAAAAACGTTGGTGTGTGCAGATGCTTCTTCATATGGTCTTGGAGCAGTCTTAATGCAAGATCAAGATGATGGAAAGTGGAGACCAGTTGTTTATATATCAAGAAGTTTGACATCTGCAGAATCAAGATATGTCCAGATTGAAAAAGATGCATTGGCCGTGACATGGGCATGTGATAGACTTAGTTCATACATGCTGGGACTGAGATTTGCTATCGAAACTGACCATAAACCATTGATTTCTCTACTAGGATCGAGAGCATTGGATGATATTCCTAATTCTGCGTTTTCGTTTGAGACGTCTCAGATTCGATTACTCCATTGAATATGTTCTCAGGAAACAGTTGGTTACAGCGGATACGCTTTCTCGGGCACCTCTTAAAATGGTGACATCGGAAGATTGGGACAATCGAATGGAGAGGGAGTGTGATCTTTTCATCAATTAAGTAATTGCAGACATTCCTGCCACTAAAGCAAAACTTGAACTTATCAAGGATGAACAAGCCCTAGATGCTACCTGTAAACAGATACGAATCTTTACAGAAAAAGGTTGGCCAGTTCATCAGAGAACTGTTTCTGAACATCTTCTGCCTTATTGGTCAGTTCGTCATGATATCCACATTGCTGATGATTTGTTGATGAAAGGAGATTGTGTATTAATCCCAAAGAAAATGAGACAAGAAATGTTAGAAAGAGTCCATGAAGGTCACCAAGGGATTAGTAAGTGTATAAGAAGGGCCCAACATTCTCTCTGGTGGCCAGGAGTAACCCGGGATATTCGGGAAATGGTAGAAAGGTATGAAATATGCTGCCAGTTTTCTCAAGTTAAAATTGAGCCTTTGATCTGTACCCTGTTGCCACAGAGGCCGTGGCAAAGAGTTGCATCTGATATTTTCCAGTGGAAAAATGCTCAATATATTGTTGTGGTGGATTATTTTTCCAGATATATTGAGGTTGCCAACCTGCCTTCTTTGACAACGGCTACTACAATTGATAGACTCAAAGTTATCTTTGCCAGATTTGGAGTGCCAGAAATTAAGCGTTAGCGTTAGTTCTGGCAGGTCACGTGAGTCAAGCTTGCATCAGCTGATTCTCAGCTGATCACATCTACCTATAGGAATACGACACCGATCGACGCATTCCTATATAATCTCTATTCAATATTATTCAGCAGTTTTTCAGCTTGCTCTGGAGCAAATTAAGCATCGCTGCTCGCAAATCAACTGTTGCAGCGTGTTTCAGAACATCTTAAATCCACATCTAAGATAAGTGAATGCTGTTTTAATCTATATCGCTGTGTATATTACCTGGTCTGCTAATTGAAAAAAGCATATTTGCAGCAGCATTTACGCATCTATGTTCATACAGCTGGAGCAACACGTAGTCTAGAGCAGTGTTTCCCAACCTTTTTTTAGTCGCGGCACCTTTTGGAAATTTTAACAAACTTGTGGCACCCTACAAAATTAATTTTGTCACAATATTTTAATTTCTGACTTCGATATGATAATTTGAAAAATATAGATATTCGGTACAACAGGGAAGAACTGCAGAATATAATGTCATACAGATATTTTTAATATTATAAAAATAAATTGTCCAATCAGTAGGCTCATTTCTAACGAAGAGATACATTTCTATTATAGATTTTAATGTAGGCTTTAATACGTATGTAAACATCATTTAATTACCATTATAACTAGTGTAGCGAATCAGCTCATGGGAAATATGAATAATTAACCATAACACAGATGGCGCTTTTCCACTGCGTGGTACGACTCGGTTTGCGTTTCCACTGCAGTTCAGTACCGCTTTAGAGTGGGCGGGATTATTCACATGTCGTTATAGTTGCGCCGCCTCTACTGCTGCGACTCCTAAATAAATGTTTTCATTCTGCGTCGCCCCATCAAGCTCTTGCTGGATCCGCTCCTCTGCTATCAACGAGAGGAATGTCTGTTCTTCCGCAACAGGGGGAACAGCCCCTTTTTGGTTGTTAAGAAAAGGTGTGCTCGTTCAAAACAGTTGCGTTCGATCCTTCGCTGGCTGTGCTGATTTAAATCTAGCAGGTCTGTTTGTGTCTCATGTCGCAAGTTCAGTGACACAGGTAGTGACAATTTTCTCTGGGCCAATCCGTGATCAGCAGAGTTTACACGTCACGTTTTGGTAACGGTACGGTACGCTTGGAACCCCAACCAAGGTGGTACTAAAAAAAGTACCAGGTACTGTACCCAGTGGAAAACCCCCCAAAAGTGAACCGTAC